CATCACGCCCCTAGTAAAATGGCCGTCGCAGCCGCCATCTTACAGGTAGGCACGGCTTCACTCGTGGGCAGGAATTTCCACTCCAGCAATTTTTTTTTTAAACCTCCTTGTTTGGAATACATGAAATTTTTGTAGTGTCGTACGCTGCGGGAGACAATATTTCATACTTATGTTTCACGCTAAACAGCTGACCTATCATAAGCTCATCAAGACCCGCAGGTCGCGGGATCGAATTCCGGCCGCATTTTCGATGGAGGGGAAAACGCTTGAGGCCCGTGTGCTTAGATTTAGGTGCATGCACGTTAGAAATGCCGCCCGCATCTTCCTTCGGAGGGAACACGAGTAAATGCGTCGCAGAGTGGTGGGGGTATCGCGTGCATGTTGCGTTATTTGGTATGGTTTGGGAATGCTTAATTGTTATTCCGTCTTATTATTCTTATTTATTAAATGAAGGAGAAGCGTTTCCTTCAACTAGTGACGCGCGACGCTGATGTGCGATCCAGGGCCAGTGAACGGTTGTGCAGCTCGCGAGCAGACGGTTTTTACTACCAGACAATGCCTGCGTCGGCCTCGCGAGGCGAGAGAGAGGGGAGAGGGGAGCAAACAGTTGGCACGAGACGCAAGCATGCGGCACTACACGCGAGGCGCGAGCATGCGCAGTAGGGGTGTGGACATTTATTTTTGACCTGCAGGCGGTTTAACACGTTACGAAAAACCCTATTAGAAATACCTTTGCGTGGTATTGGTATGGACTTATCTCTGCCTGTCATTTTGTCTTTTGGAGCTTCCGTTTCTGGTTTCTCTAATGGGACAGTATGCGCGGCCGTCCGGGACTATATTGATGAAACTAATAGGTTGACTAATTAACCAGTTTCATTATCCTAACATGTCCACATAATTATATACGTATAAAATCAGATTATTGCTCTATTCTAAGAATAAATTCGTTCATGTAAATATTTGTATGCATTACATTAAGCACCACACTTGCCTATGGGCTATCGGTAATCTTTCTGTTATACCTCCCATCATTCTAAATCTGAACAGTAAATTTTAAAGCCACTCGATTCTTGGCCAATCCCCCACAGTGGGTATGCGCCACTAACAATAGGAGAACAACAACAACAACATCGCCGACGTGTCACATATCGTGCAACCAAGAAACTGCTCCGCATTTAGAAACCCATGCACGTGGTCGAAATTTCCGGAGCCCTCCACATGCGGCGTGTCTCATAATCATATGGGACGTCAAACCCCCATTATTATTTAACCCATGTATGCCCAAACTTGGGAAAGTTAACAAAACTAATTTATTTCCCCAAAATGATTGCTTCTACGACCTAAGAAAACATAATAAGGCTTGTATTTAAAAAAAAGGAACTCTTTCCAACAATGGTTTTGGAGCCGTCTTACATGCAGGACACCAATGTTTGATATACCGCGGACAAAAAACATTAGCGCCTATCACTGTACTGTCATACGAAAGTTACTGCACACCCAATAACTGACGAACAATCACCAAGAATATTGACAATTTGACTATAAATTACTTGTATATTTTTTTCTCGGTATGGCGCTCAGCTACACGCACGCGAAATAGCCATTTTGTGACTGCAACCACGTGGCCATTTGTAGCCCAGCGATCACCTAGACTCGTATGTGACAAGGACAGGTCATCGCGAGCAAACCTTAGGTGGCGCTACCCTTTTTACAGGCAAAAGCATTCGAGTTACGCTGAAAAGTTTCAGCTTCCCAGATGTAGGACACTGGGCATATATGGGTTAAATTAACTCATTAACTCATTAAGTTCATGCTGACGTCGCTGAAACCGCCATATTGCGTGTATACGATGGGAAGCTGCATTCGCGACATCAGTTGAACGCCATCGCTACATCGCACGTGGTTTCTGTTGTTATTAGGACACGCCCCTATATTCACATTACACGTACGCGGATCGCTTTGTAGCGTTTCGCAAACCACGTCTGAATGCGGTCGTGCGCAGGGTACAATCGCGAGTATGATAATCCCCCTCCCATGTTTCGTACCTTCTTTTATCGAGTCCCAATGAAAACAAACTCCGCAAGGGACGCAAAAATGAAAATACGGTGATGACGTGTTTCTCACGAAAGTCTTCCATTGGTCCCCCAGCTTTCCGGTGCAAAATAAACGGCTACTTGTATACTATATCCGGAGTCTCTGGTTGCCAATATCGTCAAAAAAAAAAAAAACGAGGCCGATCCCCCTATATATGAATCGGTAAAACATTAAAGTGAAACGTGTCTTTTCAGAGGTAGTTGATCGTTTATTGTGAATTGTTTCGGCAACACCAATAATTTGCAAAGTTAGGAACGGCAGGCAGCTCGAAACTTGCAGCGCACACCTCAAGCAGAAAAGCACGCACGAAAGCGGCATACACTGGACGAGCGCGGTCTAGCAACTGTCACAGCTTGGTACTTAAAGCGCGCTGTTCAAACAAAGAAAGACGCACGGAACAAGCGCACAGGTGTACACAGAACAAGTGCGAGCGACTGTCACAATTCTTTTCCTCCTGCGTCGTGTGTCAGCATGCAGCGCGCTCCTTTCGTAGACGCGGCCGTGGCAGCGTGAGAAGTGACCTTCATCTTCTCCCGAATTACGAGTCTGACAAGCGCTCGCGCAGGAGAGACCACGCTCCGTGGGGGCGGCGACCTTTAGAGAGCGTCAGACGCGATCCCGTCACGCTATCTCGCCACTGATAACGAAAACGTGGTAAAGTTTCGAAGCTGTGAGGACTGCCAAACGGTGTATATGGGTTGTCGTTAGCAGTCCAGACAACGCACGCTTTGAGGAGTAGTGTTAGCGCCGCACGCTGAGAGTCGAGAGGTCGCTGGTTCGATTCCGCGTGACAAATACTTGCATTGAGTTTTTTTTTTGCCATCTCTTAGTATGTATTTTTCAACGTCACATCCGTGACGGAAGTACGTCAGCAGACCAGTGCAGGACCCCGGCATAAAACACTGTCGCGTTAAAAAATAAAAGAAGCACGCGTAGCCATAACGCTGCACATTGGATAATAACGTGATTGGTCCGCTGGAGTAAATGCATGAAATAAAATTGGCGACCCCCCCCCAACCTCCTTTATGTTATTTTGGGTGAGGTATCATCCCTCCCCCGTGGGCACGCTTATGCTTATCCATCGTGAACTTTCTTACAGCGCAACACCAGAAAAAATACAGGACAGGGAAGGAGCAAAAGAGAAAGAAAAGACGGCGCTGGTCACAACAGTTGTTTATTGGAAAAAACCGGGTGAAAAGTGTATATATAGGTACTGGCAGCCTACATCACAACATGCGCAGAATACGAGGTGCACCGAGGTAGCGTTATCACACTTATGGCAATGAACAAGATTGGCCTAAATAACTCATTTTCATGCAGTGTGACGGATGGTTCACTAACGCACTTGCTCCCCCTAATCTTTATATGATGTGCCTCAGCGACTTTCTCTTGTTAGCTGGTTATGATGCTTGAAATGATGGTGGTTCTCTCTCTCATTTTGCTCTTTCCCTGTCCTGTATTTTTTCTGGTGTTGCGCTGTAAGAAAGTTCACGATGGATCCTAACCAACTGGCCCAACTTACCGTTTTACTACGCTTATGCTTATACCGGCGTGTAATACCGGTGGCCGCTAAACTGTATCACGAAGTGTTGCAGAGTTATCGCGACAGCGCTTCGTACACGATGCCAGATAGACGAAACACGATCACCGGTATCAGCCGCTTTCGCAGTCGGAGTTTGGCTGCCGTCATGTTGCGTTTTATCGCGCCAGCCCGCCCGGCGGAGTCGAGGTCGACGGCCCCTGAAAACGCGCGTCGCCTCGATCGTATAGTACTGTTCTTTCAAACAGCGCGCGTTCTCCGCGTGTGCGGATCACGTGACGTTTCCCTTTCATGCATGGCGTGATGCGGAGCTACTGTTGACTGACACGTTTTCCTTTTGATTGCCTCGCCCTTGCATCAACTGTTGTACAGGTGTTCTTTTCGCCCCAGGCATGCGCGGCAGATATTTGTTTCGACGAATTGTCCACGCTCGCACGAGAAAAAGCGAAGAAAAGGCGTAAAACGAAAGCCCGTATGATGACGTATTGTAGACGTCAGAGTTCGTTACGGCGCGAAGCAGACTACAAGCCAAGCAGCTGCTTCGAACGTAAGCAGAGCAGCTGACGGACAGATAGCTTCGAAAATCGTATTGAAAGCGATACTATAAAGCCGAATATAGTCACGTGCGTGTTAAAAAAAAATAAAGTGCTGTTTGTTTCTTGGGCTTTAAGCGTTTCCTGGTGGAAGCGTGGGTGGAGCTTCCGCCCAAATTTATGTAAACTTAATTTGTATCATGTAATGTAACGTAATATATAACGGAAACACAGGCGTAGCTAGGGAATGGTGGGGGGGTGTGTTCAAACTCTCCCGACTCTTTTTTTTTTTTTCAACTTCACATGAGCATATAATGTACACGCATACATACAAATACATATGCGAGCACGACTTTTCACGATGCTTGAACCCCCCCATCCGTCACAAGGAAACAAATCCTGACTATACGCCTCTGACGGGAAACTTGTGAATTGAAGGAAAGTTACTTTCCGCATGTTGTTATAGACAAAGAAGTCAACATGACGTCTTGATTAGACGTCTGTTAGCTTATGGTTGGTCTGCGTGGCATTTCGTATGTATAACTGCGACCTTGCGCCTCATGTGCAGGCTCTTGTGTGTGCATTATTGATGCAAGAAACATTACGCCTGTACTTATAGACTACAGACATACATGTCTACCTGACATGAAGGTTAGACGCCCGTTGGATAACGACAGGCCACGTTCCTTAAGTACCAGTCTGCAGGCCCTCATGCGTGGTTATAATCCTACATATTTCGCGAGTTTTGAACTACCCACACTCTTCCTTAAGAAACGTGACACGTAGGTTTGGTGCGCGTGAAACAAACAAACAAAAAAGAGGCGTGTACTCACAAAAGGTTCGGCTGGCGCCCGTTGCTTGAACGTGGTGGCCAGAGATATGGGAGGCACCACGGCGCGCGAAGTCCACTGATCCGGCTCCTGTCCGGCATGGATGGCGTTTGTGTCGAAATGCAGCCTGGAGTAGTCCAGTTGGTGATCGTCGAACGCGCCGTTGCTGCCCATGACGTTTGTTTATCGCCTTAAAAAAGACGCCCGTTCCTGTCGTTCACTTCTTCCTCCTCCTACAGTACACGTGTGCGTACGACGTTCGCCACGCCGGCGTTACTGAGCTCCCGCTGGCGTCTGCTGCGAAAGCCGACTGCAGCGAGGAGCTTGTTTTAGAAGACCGGCGGCTTCCGAAGCGAATGTCGACCCCCCGGCGGGAAAAGGGCGCGTATCGGAGAAAAATGAGCATAAAAAAAAAGTGCCGCCGCCACACAAGTAGGGAGTCTCGCGCGATGACGTAGGAGCGAGGAGCAGGAAAGCGTGCCGACGCGCCAACGTCTACATCGCACTCGACGCTCTCCATTGGCTTCCCTCTTCGTTACCCTTTCTCCCCGCGTCGTTTAAATCTACACTCGCCGTACGCGCCCTCTCCCTTACGTCTCTTCGTACGGCTCTCTTCGTCATTAAAACATCCGAAAAAAAAAAAAAGAGATATCGTTGTAGCCGAGCGTGTGCTCAATTGCGCACGAATGGTTCCTCGTAATAATTTTCCTGCTGCACTTTTCAATCCGCTGCGCTTTCAAATCAGCTGGCTGGATTCGCGAAGCTTATATGACGAGCTGCCGGTCATTAGCGGCTAGCCGCATTCGCGTACTCATCGAAATCGGCTGAACAAGGAGCTTACGAGCTGGCGTAAGTATACACATTGCGTGCGTTGCATGATGGGCCCAGTTCCTTGCTCGTCTTATGACCCGTTTTCGCGGATCAATGCCGTCGAGGGGTCTGTTTTCCGAGTAATAATGGCGTCGTCAATGGGAATTAAAACTAACCACCAAGTTCTAAATCACTGGCGTCTGAAATGCGCAGCCAGAAACGCGTCGAAGGGAAGAATGATGATGATGACCCATTTGTATACGGCCCACACCTTCATTTGTATACGGCCCACACCTTCAGGAACAAATAATCGATTGATAACAGGGATCACATAATGGAAATTCATTCTCTGCTCTCTCTCTTTTTTTTTTCGGGACAACCTTATGAAAAGAGGCCGATTTCGGATTAACAAATACTGACGCGCCTTCTACATGAAACTAAGTAACTAAATCTGGAGCCCCCCAATATTGTCACCTTCGCCTCCTAGATCAACCATAGCCAAAGCATAACGCATAAGTTCTGCGCCTCCCTTCCCCTCGAAGGTACACAATATTCGTTGGTGCCCCCCCCCCCCCCCCCAGAAAGAAACCTTGGCGCTGCCCCTTAGGCGGTCCACCTAATTTTGGGGAGGTTGGGGGGGGGGGGGCGCCTATGCATTCGTGTCCCAGAATATGCTCGCTTGTGTGCGCTCGTTTGGAGGCATATGCAACGACACGTAATCGTACCGCGACGCTATACTTCGATATCTCGGCGAGGCGGCGGAGTACGAGCCCGATTTCCCGTCGCCCGGCGCCAACGTTTGACGTTGCCGTCAAGAGACGGCGACGTCCGTGCTAAACACGGAGGAAGGAAACCTTTTTCCTTCCTCCGTGGTGCTAAACATCTCGTCGGTATTTAAGCGCCAAGGCCACCTGTAGTTGCTCGCGAGAAACTTCACCAAAGCATTTGCCTGATCGTAAACGACGCAACCGGTGTGCTCATGCCGCTTTAGCTACGTGCATGAATGCATCTAGCACAGAAGCGGTATTCTAGAGTAAAGACCATAACATAAGTACATGATCCCCACCTGTTAGGAATGTGCGGTAAGTGGTGAGAGCATGCAGTCTGATCGAAATAAAAAACAACAACAACTGTGAAGTCAAAGAAGTGCATGGAATAAATTTTTCTTACCGTTGTGGTCAACACTTGAAAAAGTAGTAGTAGTAGTAGTAATAGAATTTTGTTCAGCCATTGTGCAAGTTTCGTTTAGGTATTATTCTACGTGTTCAAAAGAAGCTATGTTGCGTCTCGGGCGAGAAGGGTCAAGATCTTTTTTTTTTTTTCTCCCTCGAACGTCGAAGAGTGTGAGAGAAAGTATAGAAGCCTCCCCCCTTCCCCTCTCCGCATTGAAGGCGCACCATAAGGAAAAACGATTTCTTTCATACTAGCTGATTACTCGTTCGCAATTTCAAAATCACCACACTTGTCGCGAGACGACGCCTTATAAGCGAGAAGACGCGCTAAAGGAAAATGCCGGTAGAAACGCCACCGTTTTCCCACACCAAACACCGTGACGTCATAGAATTTGACGGCGTTTACTAGGCCCTACGTAGTTCGTTGTCACTGTAATATGAATACATACGTCTGAAGGACCCGTATACTTAAGATATCAAGTGTCAGGAAATTTCATTGAGGAAATGCCTCCAAAAATGAATAAATAAATAAAAATATGCTTTGAAAACTCTGTCGTCACGCGCGGAGATTTCGGCGCGAAATTGAAAATTGAGATTTTCACCTTTATTAAATTTCCTCTCCTGTTTGTGAATCTACGAAGGTCAAATTTACGGCGAAATGAGCACTATTGGAGCTTTCACAGCATAATTTACCAATCTTTACTTAATCATTGGACTTTTATTTTAGTGTCCCATTAGATGACGCCTCCGATTCTGTAAATGGTACATTTGTGCAGGAACTCGACGTGAAACTGCTTGTAGCGAAACCAGGTAAAAATAAACGAGCTGAAATAAAAGAAACAAAGAAAGCTCAAAGAAACAAGGCAAATACGTTTGTTACTCTCGGAAGTGTGTGGATATAAAAAAAAAAAAGCACTGGAACACGGTAAGCTTTTCCTCCCGAAATGACGCGATCGTTTAGCCAATTGTACAAGAAACTAGTAATGATTGTAAGTGCCCAGCCGTAAATTATTGTCTATCTCTGTCATGTTCTACGATGTTTAGGGCTCTATACAACCTTCTTGTTTTATTTTTTTTCTATGAGGAGGGGTGGCTTTTCTTCGTGTGGTGTGCTTAGAAATAATAACCTGCGTGTGGCTTTGAGCTGGCTGGATAATTGTATTGACAAATAATAATAATAATAATAATAATAATAATAATAATAATAATAATAATAATAATAATAATAATAATAATAACCCCAGTGTATTCTTTTTCATGTGCAAGTCATAGCAAAGCAAGTCGCAACTCGGGCTTCAGAGAATGCATTCGACTTTGCAGACTTCCAAGAAAACTTGGACCCGTGTAGAATTTGTCCATGCAATTCGTCCGGGTAGCCTGTAACGGACGCTAACTGGTTTGAACGCAGTGCACAACGTCGGAGACAAAGGCGAAATTAGAAACAAGACACAGTACAACGAATGGGCGCTGACTCGCAAGTTCCCCAAATTGAAAGTCCCGCTCGTAGCAGATGCGAAAGAGGGTTCGAAGGTACACTGTGCGTGGGCAGCGTCGGTACCGTTTTCACTGAGGCGGCACACACTGTGGCACTACGCTTCGATCGAATCCCTTTACTGCTCCCCGCCCACATCAAAACACCCACCCGCGTAACCCCACGCACCTGGCTTCCCGGCAGGACGGGGACCGCGGTCGTTTGCTGTATACGCTGATTGGTGCGGTATCGCGTGGCATCATTGGGGAAGCTCGAGTCTGAGGACTGATAGACACTCATTACGACGTCAGCCAGGCAGAAGGGATCGGGTGGGAAGGAAAGGGGCGTTGTCCCTCGTTGAAAGTGCAGTATACACCCGCCGACCTTCTGGCGCGGCTCGTTACAGTCAGCGCAATGACTCGCTCGCTGGATTCCGTGCCGACCGGTTGTGCCCTCGCGATCTCCGACGTCAGCGTAGCTCTAGCCAACTGGGCTGGCCCTACGTCATCTCCTGACGCCGACCTCCGACGTTGCCCCTCGTTGAAAGTGCAGTATGCGCCCGCCGACCTTCTGGCACGGCTCGTTAAATTCGGCGCAATCAGCTTACGTCACCATATCCGGGGAGTGGCGTTGTTTCGTTGCTTGGTTGACGCAATGTGGCTCGAGATACTGTACACGCTGGGCCTATAGGCCACCGTTTGTACACGCTGGGCCTATAGGCCACCGCTGGGCCTATAGGGCTGGGCCTATAGGCCACCGTGGCAGTAGGAGGAAACTTTATTGTGGCATAGTGACAATGTAAGGCGCTTGAAAGTACGACGGCAGCAGAACGCAATGACAGCGTTTCTATATATTTTATTTTCTCGGGGGGCTTTAATCTGTCTCTGAACGTTACACCAACAAGGTTCAACATGAGCGTTAGTCAAGTTCACTGTTGCGACCCTTCATGGTTGGCCTATAGGTGATTGGTTTCCTTATAGTTTCAGAAACAGTGAATATATGGCGACAGCCTGGCCCGAAACTGATTCTCAGGGCATTGACCCGAAAGCGGAGCCTCCCATTGGCGTTCCGAAGGTTGATTCCGCGTTCGGCGCTTTTGTGTTTATTGCGTATCTCAAATAATACCACGTGACAACATGTCTTGGCCGTTTCTCGGCAGTAGTCTGTAACGTCCTTAATGTGCCTCCGTTACGGTTTGTATGCCAGACAAACAGGGTAAAAAGGGCTTTTTATGTGAATTGGGAGAACACAGGTTGACAATATTCGCATACAGTAAATAAATAGTCGTGGCAAAGTACCTTGGTCTTGTGAATTATGTTATTACGAATTTTAGTGAATACCTTAAAACGCGCACTACAAGGTTGGTTTGTAGATTGGTTTTAAGTGTCTTGGCTCAGCGCACTGTGGGGGATTGGCCATGAAACGGGTGGTATACTTATTTTAGAGAGAAATTGTTTTACATGCCGAATACGTTTAGAAATGTACGGTTTAAAAATGAACGCACACGACAAAACAAGGATTAAAAATTTAATGAATAAATAATAAAAGAAAGGGGAAAAACAACTCAACAAGCTAATAGGGTTGAAAATAAATGAATTTGCGCCTAGGCTTTCGAACATTTTATTCGTTTTGTTTTCCACAGGAAATCGCATACGGTTTCGCAAATTTCTCTGTGGCTAAAGCCCTTTTCCGTTGCCTTGAATAAAATAGCCACCGGGAGGTATTAATTTAAGGCAGTCATATGAAGAGGCCTTGTAGCAATCGATTTATTTTATTTGTAAATTATGTGCATGTTAAAAGGAAATGATGCAGAGATTCACTCTCTTTGCAGTGGAGCCATAAGGTGGGCTGTACCAGACCAGACCTCTGTGCTAAATGTTCGGTTGGGGAGCTCGACATCTTAGTCTGGTAACTGATATTTCCACCCCTTTAGAAGAGTACCATCAATTTTTCCAACGGTACTCAGATGTTGCCAAAAGGAGACTTAGCAAAGTTATCAGACGTGGAAAATTTTCAAACCACGATTACCTACTTAGTAAAAAGTTAATCGTCGTCGCCATCTCACTTTTACGAGACGTAGCCAGTCTGTATGACGTTTCACGGAATTCTAATCTACGTCTGCACGTATCGTGTGCACTGTACCTGTAAAGATGGCTTCACCCTAAGAAGAGTCTTCGTGCGCAAAAGCCCGCTTCTGTGATCCGTGGAGCTATTTCATTTGGTGGTCAGCCAATTTCACGCAGACGTATGCATGCTGGCAAGGATGTTACCACGGTAACACAGTGATGCGCCGTCATAAATGAATGGATTATAAATCGGCCCTGTGATTACGAAAGTGCGAACAGAAAACTAAAGTTACGGACATCAGCAGAATTGACCCAAGATTTTCAAATGCGAATACTTTTCTTTACGTGCTGCAAGCACATTTACTATCTATCTATCTATCTATCTATCTATCTATCTATCTATCTATCTATCTATCTATCTATCTATCTATCTATCTATCTATCTATCTATCTATCTATCTATCTATCCAGCCGCTTACCCGATTACGTTTGGGTGTTCTCGTGATCACCCCGTTAACTTGACGTGAACCAAAATAAGTATGGGTGGGTAAGATGGTTTGAAAAATATGACGCCCTGGTCAAGACATGAATGAGGACTGAAAGCTGGGCCAGCTGCCGACAGCACTTGAACTCGGTGCACGATTAAGCGGACTACGTTGCGGTTTTCCCCTTCTTCTCGTGTCCGCGCAGTCGTGCGCTGAGTTAAGATATGTTCAAGACATGCGTAATGTCACAGTCCCGTCGCGTACGTCGTCAAACACTTCTCACCAGACAGTGGCACATATTTAAACGTAGATCCTAAAGTTGTAGATCACACCCACCCTGAGGAATCGGCCAAAGTGGCACATACCTGCGGTCGGGCATGTGTCACTATAGTACGCGGGTATGTGCCACAAACAGGTGGTAGACACTTAGTAACCGATGAACGACGAGAAACGCTCATGGGTAATTTTAACGCGTGAGCGTTAAGAGAAACCTGACATCGGCAGTGTTGACCCGACGATCGCAAAGAACAAACGTGAGGGTCCGCTCGGGAATCGAACTTCAACATTGTGCGTGACAATCAAGCATTCTACCGCAGAGCCATGCCAGGTATCGAAACATACGTACTCCTACGATACAGCCGTCACGTCGGTTTATCGTCGATTGTAGTTATGAGCTATGCGATGAAATATACTTATGTAACAGTGTACAGGGCTACCATCGTCGCGAGCCCCAGTACTTATCTGCTTATGGCTTCATGGTGTTGCTGATACTCATGTTCCTGCTGGTAAGTTGCGCAAGTGCAAACAACTGCTTATATAAACATTTACAACTGTTCAGCATATGTCTGTGCGTGCAGTAGCGTGTCGCTCAATGTACAAATTACAAAACGGTCGACCTTCCCTTCGCATGCCTTGCAGAACGTTGATACATAAAATCTGCCGAAGTTTTTTTTAGCTGTGCAAGTGGTAGTCGAAAAACGTGAGTTCTCGCGCCGCTTTAATGAGTCGGTCTTTTTCTTTATTTGCGAGTTTTGAAAGTGCTGTAGTGTGTCGTGTTGCAACCTGTAAGTCAGTTGAAGATTAGGTACAAACCAAATTGTGCCACAAATGAGTACTGATTGTTCGCTGCGTTACCTTTATCTCTTCATTCTTTACTTCCTTCAATTTTTTACCTCTTCTATGTATGTATAAGCTGTTCACCTCCCCATTCCAAATTTGAGGCTTTTATTAATAAATGTAGCATCAATTGGCTCCTTTATGTAAACCCAGAAAAAAAAAATGTTCGTGACAGCCATGCTCTGTGACAGTGTGCGATCGCTGACAATTTTTAGAAAGCGCGGGGTCGCTAAACTTGTTGCACCGAAAACGGAGCAGTAGAAAAAAAAAATAATAATAACGCCGCTCTTTCACAAGTTTGAACAGTATGCGCTTGTCGCGCCGCGTCGCGCCGAATACCGGCACTTTTTTTTTTCTTGTTTCGGTTCTCGTTTCGTAACGTACGCCCAACGAGACGACGCGAGAGGTAAACATGGCGGACAGCGACAGCGACGGTGAAGACGATAGCATGTATCCGTTGCACGAAAAGGTATTTGTAGGCGATGTCCGACGAGTTTCCGCTCTCCTCCGGACCCACGACGTCGCTAAGAAGGACGTTCACGGTGAGACCGGCCCGCAACGGCGACTCATTCCCACTCGCGGTCTAGTTTTGTCTGTCGTGTTGTTTAGACCAGCCATAGGAGAGAAAAAAGAAAGCTTCGTGTCAGGGCTCCTCTAAAACATCGTTTGGACCGCGGAAGCTAAACCATTTAGTACGCACGACCCGACGATGTTTTAGGTGGTCGAGCCGGAAGTTGACCAACCTATACATGCCGTTTTGCCTTTGGTCGCTGACCTATAGTACGAACGGTGCGAAAACCTACACCTTAACCGAATAGGTCCTCTTGTTTTGTCTGTAGGAAGGGCGGACTTGGAAGACCGAAACCTTGGTTAATGGAAGGCACATAAATTCTCTTAGCGCCGCGTTTCCGGCCCTCTACTTCTTTATTTTGCTTTGCTTTGCTGCGCTTGTAGAGGAAGCGGTTTCAGGAATTTCCGCTCCAGACTTTTGACAGTAGTATCAGCGGTGGCCACATGTGCGTGCGTCCTTGGAAACGCTTTCGCTCGGTGGGAAAGCGGCAGCTGCGGTTTGATGCCGAGGATGTTGACGGAATCGTTAAGGCCACCCCGAGAGTCAAACGAGATTTGTTCGTAAACGGATTATGTATGTGCGTGTCGTCTCGCGCCGAAAGGGACGCGCTGGCGAACTGGTTCAAATGAATGAGAGCGCGGCGCATCGCGATGTGGCATCTCGTCCCAGTCCCCAGCTGCTGAACGTTTCGCAAGCACCGCGTCCGGTTATTTAACGCTCCCGCGTTCGATATCGTTAGTTAACGTGACGATTAATCGAGTGAACGAAACAATAATAAAACCTGGTGTTTCACTTCTAACCACGGTACGATCTTGAGGGACGTCGCACTGGAAAGTTCCGGACATTTTGACCATCTGGTGTTATTTACAGCGCACATAAATCTAAGTACGCGGCCCTCAATCATTTTGCCTCCATCGTAAAATGCGGCTGGGATTCGATCCTCGAGTCGAGCATAACCACAAGGAAGCCGTGGAGGGTAAAACAAGCGAAACGCAAAGCGGATACGTGTTTGGTTTTTTTTTGTTGTTGTTGTTGTTTCCGTTTCAAGTTAACGACACGCTCGCTGCATAACGAAAGTTGCGATTTTTTTTTAATTTTTCAGGAAACACGCCTCTTCACTTGGCTGTCATGCTGGGACAGAAGGGTATGCTTGAAAAATTTTTATTATTTTTTTTCTGAATGAGTAAATAGTTATACAACCGCGTAATCAGTGGGGTATATGAGAAATATGCACAGCAGTACCAGTTGTACGCCTCGAGATGCCACTGTTATATGTGACATATGTCTGTCGGCAGGCTAGAAAGGTCACCTGCTACGTGACGTGAAAGATGCTCTTCTTTGCGCCATCTGTGTTCTTGCTTTCCCCGCATTGTTCGCGCAAAAGAATGTGTCTTTATTTGTGCCAGTATTGTCACCTCTTTTCTCTGTTGACGGTGTGAGGCAAGGCCCCATTTAAAGGCTTGGTTGTTATATCGTACTCTCTTTCGGAATTTTTCAACAAAAGTAGTTGTAATGTTGCATTTTAAATCTGACCAAGCCTGCTTAAATATCGCATATTGTACTCAGCTTGTTGCAGGCAACATAGTCCGCAGTTTGGGATGAGACCAGTTCCCGAGTTCAATAGTTCATAAATCTGTGGGATCAGCTGTGAATGATAGAGAAATTCGTTAATATTTGCCTTGTAGTTTTTCACTTATGTAATGGCATGTTTTCTGGCACATCAGTGGACTTTTTCCTATCTATTTTTGAGCTTTTCCCGCTGGTGTGAATGTTTATGTACTATATTTATATGTTTGTTCAGCATGTTTTTGTGCCTGTTTTAGTTTATTTGTCATGCCAAATGTGCTATTTGCTTCATAGTACGGTGTAGCTCTCATGAAGTGAGTTCACAGTTTTTCAATAATGTTTCGAACATTCTTTATGAAAAGAAATATTTAGCTCACAAACAGCTTCTCGTTGATGCATTTACTTCTACATCCACATTTTCACGTTTCGTAGAGCAAATATTGCATTTGCTTTCGTTAATTTCTTCCTTGATTTTTTGTGTTGTACATTTCATACAAGTGAAACGAACAGCCTGGCTCTTTTCAAATTTTTCTGTAATTTATTTGATAGTTATGGCAAATACAGTACTGCCTTATTCCTTTGTTGTGTGCATATTATGCTTTGTCATTCACGAAAGCAAACTCCATAATCAAAGTGCTAATGAATTGTGTGTTCCCCATTTGTCAATTTTCTGTGAAAATCTAGAGTGTGTGCAACTTGCTCTTGGCACACAATGCTCCGGTGAAAGTGAAGAACAGTCAAGGGTGGAACTCCTTAGCAGAGGCTGTCAGCTATGGGGATCGTCAGACAAGTGAGTCCACATCAAGCGACCATTATTCTACGGAATGTTGTGTCTCACTGTTATCACATTTACAGCGCACTTATTGTGCACATGAACATGTCAATTTGAAAAGCTGCAGAATCTGAGGACTTTTGGGTGTCGGCGCACCGCACTGCCAGACACTGAGTGTTCGACACATTTAGTTCTGTCACCATGTTCTGCTGGTGTTTGCATTGCAAACTGGGTGCTGCAGCCTTAAGTTTTTAGTGCAAATGTTCTGAGAAAACAAAAAGATGAGGTTTTTGTAGATGTACTTGGTCATTGCTAAAAAAAAAATGTTTTATCTAACAAAGCACAACTTTCCTTGGCAGTTTTTCTCATCAAATCTACATCACTCTCTCTTCAAATACAAGCAGTAGTAGCTTCGTAACATCATTCTCGCCTATTGAATTGCTTTTCAGGAAAGTGGAGCGAGGTCTGATTTTGCAGTTATTGATCATTGCAATATTTCTCTCTTGTTTCAGACAGTAACGCTATGAATTGCTAGGCACACTTGCTCAAAATTTTAGGGTCGTGTTCTCATGTGATCATTTTTGGCTGCGTCACTTGTATGCCTGTGTTAGATTGGTTCAGGTAGTAGTTGGGATGCTTAAGTGAGGCATTGCACTCAAGTGGGGCCTTATGATGGGAGTCATTAGGAAAATATATAACCTCTGTTCACTCAGTTCGCTTCACTATAAAATGTAATTGTCAGTAAGTGGTGTTGCACTTGTTGTTTCAATGTGACTTCGCATGCATGGGCACAGTACTCTCCCTGTTGCGGAAACTCAAGCAGCAGTCGCGGGAAGCAATGGACTTCCGGAGGCCAGATCTCGTACGCATCTTGGAACTCATGGGGGATTTTTATATGGAGCTCAAGTGGGACTTCCAGAGTTGGAGTGAGTTGTCTTTATCTCCGTTCTTTTTCTCATGCTTATCACAGATATTGTTCATGCTAATTGCATGTTGTAGTGGCCTTTGCCGCTGTTAACCCGTTGTCTCTCGGGGGCGACCTGGCACGTTCACACATTTTGCACTCTTGCATGCTGTGGACTGGCTGAGATCGCCCGCAACTGCTAAAGAGCTGAGGTCGCAATGCATGCTGTGCAGGCTCGCGTGTGTAGCTCTTTTTCATTTATGTGTAGTTCTAAGACTGCAGTGCGGCAAGCAAGATTGATTGTGAGCCATGCGTGAAGCCAGCATTGACTCTTGCTTACATATTTTCTAGACATCGAAGAGCATTGTACAGATACATTCTTTTTTGTTTAATGTCTTGTTTTACAATTCACTAAATAAAAACCTGTATGTTGCCAACGTTTTCCTGTTCAAAAATAATTCAAGAAGTAAAGGGTTAATTACTTTGGGTACATGGTGCACTCGAGTTCACAAAAAATGCTAATTGAACAGAATACCTTAGGTGCTTTACGTGTTGTATGTCAGTTGATTGAGATGATGTCATGGTTGCCGTACATCACGGTGGAACCTCTCCAAGTGGCATACCTACATACGCAGGAGACGCGTCGAACCGTACCAAACACTGTACATTTGTTCAATTACACTTACATCAATAATATCGCCAGCTGAATAAAAAAAGTATGTCACTAGTGACACGCTAAAACAGCCTTATACAATATTCCAATACACTCAACAAACAAAAGGCAACGTGAAGGCGTTGTCGCCGTTGTTCGACTCACCATGAGGGGCTGGTAGGAGACGACCCGTGGTGCCACCGCCTGTGGACCTACTGCGGGAGACGTGCATCCAGATCACTGCCCCTACACAAAAAAAAAAAAAAAAAAATCACAGCAGATTTACGAAGTGAATGATGATGAGTGGGCGAAGTGATCGTTCATCCATCCGTCCATGTGTTTGTCGGTTCGTGCATGCATCCGATTGCGTTCGAGAATGCAGACAGCACGCGGGTAACACAGACGAGACGAGAGCTGAGGAAGCCGAAAGCAAGCGTTTCAACGCGCCATCCGCTTTCCTTCGTTCGTGCCCCACCAACGATCTGCCACGCACAGCGACTATCTAGGAAGCTGAGAGAGGCACCTGTTTTCCGCGTACCCAGACACAGCCCGCGAAGCAGCCAATCAGAGAGTAACGGGACAGTGCCATCTAGAATATCCTCACTCAACTGCAACTTGTATATACTTCTATGAGGCAGCGCCGTCTATTATACTGTTCGGGAGGAGATACTGTCGTCTTTTCTATCTCGTCTCTTCTGTAGGTTACGCGGGACGCATGACAAGGTTAGACTAAGAGGAGCTTCGCCCCTAAAAGACCCGTTCATGTGTTAGGTATGTGCTACCATTCGGCCGTCACTGCTGGCGCTGCGGTGCTAACCATAATGATGATGATGGTGAACCTGCATGAGCACTGCGCTACTCACCGCTCAATGGTCGTGTTAATCCTAAATACGGCCTATCCGTGAGACACGTGTGTGCCACAAGGCACAAACAACTTTACAGGAGGTGACAGCATCCCCACAGACACGGGAAATCTCCCACTTAAGTTATAACTATTTTTCTGATGCTTTCTTGTTCATGTTTCTGCGATATAGTACTTAATATGAAGCTTAGCCTTTTCGTTCGATTATCAGTTCTGTGAAACAAGACTGTCAATTATTACGATTGTTTAATTGATTGATTGCTTTGTAGTGATTTTACCTATAAGCTGTACATTGTGATGCACATATTTGACTGCATCTGTTCAACAAACCATTTTTAGTCATCTTATGTTGCTTCGTCTGTAAAATCTTTATTTGTAGATTTGTTGTGGTAAGCCTGTATTCTCTTGTGCACTTCCATGCCCTTTTGCAGCTGTGTTGTCCCAATCATTTCCTCGTCCAACTGCTTCATTTTTTTCCCCCTTTCAGTCCCATTGGTCTCAAGAATACTGCCATCAGACATCTGTAAAATTCACAAGAAAGGATCAAACATCAGGTGCGTTTTCAGTGCCCGAATTCACCTCGCCTCCCACTGTCCCTGATACTACTGTTCGTATAGTTCTGGGGTTCTTTTCTCAGCCTTTCGTGGGCCATGCGACAAGAGTGGTGTTTCCGCCCTGGATAGTGTTTCGTAAGGCTGGAGCTTTCACATGAGGTTTATCGCTGTGCTTGAGCATTATGTGCACGTGCGGGAGCATAGCTGCACAATGTTCGAATATCCTTCCTTGCCAGAATTGGTGAACAACTAATCTTTACGGGTCTCTTTTTTTGAGGATGATGGAAGGTTCTGAAAACCTGATCGGTTGCATCCCTGGAGGTCTGTTTAGACATTGCAGTGAGTGGTGCCAACAACACTGGTAATAGAGGGATGGTAATACACTCAAACCTCGATATAACAAACCTGGATATAACGAAGTGTTGGTTATAATGAAGTAAATGAAAAATAGTCTTGCAATAGATATAGTGTTAGAAATAAACCTTTACAACGAATTTTTGGATATAACGAACTTGATTTTATGCATGATGCAACTTTGTTATAATGAGGTCTGAGTGTATCACTACAGAGGAACAAGAACTAGCGAAGATTGCCATTTTTCTGCAAGGAAAACATATTATTGAAATAATTCGAATAAATTGCAGGCAGGTATCTGCAGCGTGTAGCATGCTTTTGCGGCAACCTGTGTACTAGTGTGGTGACACTTTTATTACTAGTAAAACATTCTTTGCCACCTCAGGATAACCCCTTATCTTGCCACTGTACATTTAAAAGTTGTTGCCAGGGTACAGTCGGCAAAATCTATGACTATTGTGCGCAGCGGCAACTTTTTGTCTGTCAGTGCCGCATTATGGAATGAAATTCAAATTCTTTGTGAGCTCGTAGTCTGAGGGCAAAAACTTTCCCTGGCCCTTTTTGGAACCTAACTTATGGCAGATTCCACTGGTTGAGTTGCAGCAAATTTTCCTGCCCGGCAGCCGAGGATCCGCGTCAAGAGAAAGTATGTGTTTGCCCTGGCAGATTCGGAACAACCCACTTTGCGAAGGAGCATTACGCGTTGCTTCTTCTTGCAGAGGCGGATCTCGCCGGAACTCTTCTAACGCGGTGCTGCCATTTTCGATATGGTTGGGCAACTTTGTTGTCTTCAGTGTTTTTTGAAGACGTGTCTGATCACCCTGTGCGCTTGTTTACACTTCTAAAATGGGGCAGTTTGACTCTGCTGGATGAGCTGCAAGTTAGTCTCTTGCTCTGAGCGATAGTGAGAGCACAAGGTCTGACAGTAGTAATTGCAGTGATGACGACGAACCGTATATGAAAATGGTGTGTCAAAGAAATGATTCCTTACCAGCTGTGCGCACGTTGAAAGATCATCGGCTACGTCAAATAATTTCCGTAGCTGGTTTACGGGTATGCATACACAACTTCCGGAGTGACCTTACGCGGAGCATTCACGTGTTCCAGTGGTAGATTTGGCTTGGTGCAATCCTAGTTCTCCCACCTGCATTTTGGCAGCTGCTCCAGATCTGCCAGTGGAATTCGCCATTGGTCATATGGTGAAGATGCACCGAAAAGATTGCCGCTCGCGCACGATAGTTAAAGATTTAGGCAACTGCACCTGTTGGTATGATTGAAGGAAACCAACAGGCTGCTTATCACGGTAATATTTGCATTGTTTTCTTGTAGCAGTGTGTTTGAGCTGCCCCAAAAATGGTTGTTGTTCGGAATGCTTATCCAGGTTGGCAAGGATTCTAGTGGACTGCTAGTCTTAGCTAGTGGGTGGTTTCTGAGACAACACAACACTTGCAAATTTCTCGTCGTTGTACTTAAACAACGTGCAGTGCAACTCGGCCTCTTGTGTTTATTGCCAGTTGTTATATTTACTAACCCTTGTCTGTTGAGCTGCGAGTTTATGTTCATGAGTTGGTACGATACGAATAGAAATTCACTACAACACAATGGAGGTTTTGGACGTTCCCGTTTAGTTCCACATTCTAGCTGTCCCCGGAACTGTTTGTTTTTGTTCTAGAAATGGCCTATCACGCCCTGTTTGTTTGAGATAGCGCAGTGTTTTGAGGTGGCATAGTATATACGCATTAGTTATCACTTTCTCCGAACAATGGTGCAACGGCAATTTGCGCCTTTGTCAGATAGCCGTATGTTTTACCCACGTGAATAGATTGCCTGTAAGGACATTGCTCTTTTATGTCAGTGCTGGAGAACTTGCTGTTGCAGTTGACCACTTCGTGTTGCGTCTAGTGCAGGAATAATGAAAACGTTGTATAAAAGCAGTTAACCTTGCCTGCATGCATCGTGGAAGGGTTTTATCATGGAAGGCTTACTTGCTGACTTGACATGTGAAGCTTTTGAAGTGCTCGTACGTGTCATTGTGAAATGCAGGAAGCTGCCTTCTGGAATGCGTTTGGTAAATAATTTGTTAATAGGGGCGAGCCTTATTGTGCTGGCCCTGGTTAATTTTTGTAGAAATTGCGCATAGAACACTACGGCTAACCACAGCTACAGAGGCTTACGCAGAAATTTTTTAGATGCGAAGCAGCTCTTTAAGCTTTAATTTTCCCGTTTTTTCGTACAATGTAAAGCACTGTTGGCGAGAACCTGCGTGACTATGCAAAATTTACGTACACCTATCAATTTCAGTTTTAGAAAAGTAGAGAAGACTGTGAAAATTAGGAAATCACATTGCAGTTCAGCAGTTGTAGCTTTACGAGCGTTTAAAAAGCCAGGTTTCATAATGATTCTTCGATCTAATAATGTCTGTTTGCTCTTTTTCACTAATAGTGGCTATTTCAGGTGGCTGCTCAGCATGGTAGCCTTCGAATCGTGAACGTTGTCATCTGCCGTATATGCCTAGATGTCAAAAGAAGCTAATTATTGCACAAAAATACGAAGTCACGGTGTGGTATCCAGACTATGTCTGCTTCCCGAACCTTTCCCCCTCTTGTGTCTGACACCTTGCTGTTTGCTCTCCCAGGTTAGACACGACGCTCGTCGATTTCAATGACATGAAGTGGGAGCGAGGAGACATTACTTTCCTTTTTACGGGCAACGACAAGCCGTCCAAGTCCCTAACCGTGCTGGACAACAATTTAAAGGTCTACCAGAATGTCCGTTATGAGGTGAACGCTTTGGCTCTTTGTCCTGCATTGGTGACTGTTGTTTGTGACAGTAAAAGCATAATTTTCGTGTGCAGATTTTTATAAGCTAGCCACACACCAGCATTAGGATGGAAACTGCATGAAAAAAAAGAACTGGGATAACGAAGGCACAGGTGCATGGATTACTAGCTCGCACAGCAATTAATTCTTTCAAACACAAGAATTGTTGAAGAAGTCATAGGCCATGATGTTATTGAGAAGACGTGTCTGTGGAAGAGTTCATTATGAACACAATCTATTTTTTTGTATTTGCTTATTGTAACAATCTTTGGCTGAAGTACTGATAGATTGGGCCAGCTGGTGAGTCGCGAAAAGATGTCGTACTAAGCCGAAGACAACGGATGAAGTACCAGACGAAATCTTCTGTGCTTAGCTTGGCACTGTAGCTCTTTCCAGTAGCAAATACTGTTGAACCCCTTTATAAGAGATGCACCACACAGCAGTTCTTTTACCTTACATGAGGTGTGTCTTATAAGCAGGGTAACAGGTTCTCGCTCTGATTGATACCTGTTTTGATGCAGGCACGCTGGCAACTCTGATGCTCGACTGTCCCTTACATCAGTGTCTCATGCAAAGGAATTCAGCTGTATAGGGTGGTTACTTGTCTCAGTAGCTCAGCAGCTATTGCATTGCACTGATAGACGACAGCTTGTCTTTTATTACCAAGCATGTCAGTCTCGTTATAGGAGGAGGGGGGTATAATGTAGACGTGCCCTTCTATTCAGACTTAGGCGCATATTAGAGCCCTCTCTAGAGTCGCCCCGCTAAGGGCCTGCCTCTTATTCATAGTTTGGCTTTAGTACATGGAACCCAGAATATTTTTTTAAGGTCTACGATGCTCAGCGTGATACTGTCGCTTGACAATAAATAAGGTATTGCTTGTGCTAATGAACAAAACATATCTTGCTATTTTTAGCATTTCTTCAATGTCCATAGTGTAATTTCTGGCCAGTTACTCTTGATTCTGCATTGACTGTACAAAGTAACAAAAATAGAATTCTGAAGTAGTGGGCTTGTCAGAAAATGATCATTAATCTACGCATGTCCCCCCCCCCTCCCTCCAAAAAAAATCCGCTTTTCATTTGGCTACTCTTGCACACCTTTGCATAAGAGCAGTTTGACAGGCATTTTTACCATTTTAGTGGGATCGCTAGATTGATAAATGTATGGCCGATGCATGTGATCACTGTCAGCCTGCAGCTTGTAAATTGTAAAATGGTCTGTGATACATAGCAAGGTCCTTGAAATCTGGTTAACCTGATAGAACGTGTGATCAGATGGGCATATTTACTTATTTATTTAAAATACCTTACATGGCCACATCGGCATTGAGTAAGGGGGCCTTACAGAAACTTTATACACCAAAGGTATAAACGCAAATTTACATGAAGAAGCAAAATATGATATGTAAGAACAGAACAATGTAAAACATATAATTAATACGATCAAAATTGTACAAAAGGTGAATGATACAAGAACCAGCAGAAAAGGTAACATTAAAAAGTGAAATACAACTGGTGTTGTATACTATAAGGTATGATAAAATACCAACAATAATACAAGTGGTACAATGAATACTTTGTTGCCTTTTGCCTATTTAAGGGTGCATTTGCACGGGCAACAAAATTTCTGCAGCTCTTATCATGTTGTGCTTCTTTTCGTACAGATTCATATTTATGTAAGTAATTTCCCAGCGCAATTCTCCAAATAAGGGGACTGGTGCAGCATAGGGATAGCAGCTAATGCAGTGGCTATAGAAACATAGGCATATGCATGTGTGCTGTATGTTCTCGCATATAACCTGCCCCAGCAAGCATTATATGTATGCATCAAAAGCTAGAGTGCTAGTCATGTGCAGGGGTTATATGCATGTATTTTTTTTTGTAGAGTTAAGGGAGCAGGTTGTAGGCAATAACAAGTTATATGTGAGAAAATACGGTATTATTAGCGCATTGCACCCCCACCCCCTCTGCCTACTGGAAAGCTGCACTGTCAACTTTAAAATGTAAAAAAATGTAGCAGTAGCTCAGACAGACTTTTTTTCATTCCCCAGGAAAGCAAACGTGTAAGTAAAAAAATTTTTTTACTTATACATATTGTCACGTGCTACAAAAGGTCTTCAACTCGAAAGAACTGAGCCGGTGGGAAGACGCACCGAAAACTGGAAAGATGGCTGCTTCAATAATCAACAACTAATCAGAGCACGTGCTGCTTCAGAACATCGTCTTCCATTCTATCGTACAGCCATGGCTTATACTCACCGTACCTAGCGGCCAAGTGGCAATATGTCCTGCTATGCTATTGCGCAACATTATGTGGTTCTGTAGCCGTAGTTATAGGGTAAAGTTGCTGCGCGAGTCTCATACAGACAAGTAGACCAGAGAGTTGCTCCTCGTCGTGGTTTTGGTGGCGCAAGTGGCAGGCTTCCTCTGAGGACTCACATTACAACCTCTGCTAAAATTTTCAGGCAAGCGCTAAACAAGCTTATCTCAAAATTAGATATAAATATACTATAAACTGCATTTTAAACGCGAAGCATTTCTTCGCTTACTGCTAGCACTTTAGGTGTCTATCTACGTATCTGTCTTTCTTTATCTATCCGCTTACATCTGGGTGCTCTCGGGATCACCCCTTAACTTAGCGTGAACCAAAACTAGTATGGGAAAGTAAAATGGTCTGATGAATATGACGCCCTGATTAAGACATGAATAATCTCGTAATCCCGCCACGTACGTCTTCAAACGCTTTCCGCCAGACAGTGGCACATACCCACAGGAGGGTATGTGCCACTGGTATGCAGGTATGTGCCACAAGTAATTGACAATGAGTATCTACCAGGAACATCGAGAACACAGATGGTAATTTTAACGCATGAGTGTTGAGAGAAAGCTGTTATCGGCAGCGTTGACCCGACGAATGCAAAGAATAAATGTCAGGGTCCCAGCATGAATCGAACCGAAGCATTCCACGGGGCATTCAGGTATTCTACCAACTGTTCAACTTATGTCTGCGCGATCAACATTTGTACATATACTTAGCATCATTTCATAACGTGTTGCTCAATTAAAAAATTACAACTCGATAACCTTCGCTCCGCACGCTTCACTGAATGTCGCTTCCCCAAGGTACGCGGGATCTGTCAAATTTTTTCACCTCGCAGTCTTGTTGACGAGATTTATCGTTACTGCTGCATTCCCCACTCTCAATGCTGCCATGTAACCTTTGAACTCATTGAATTGCTTGCTAGTGTATTTCTCACTGATAGAACACTGTAAAGTACTATTATTTCTCGGAACTTCAAGAAATGTTCATGTTGTTGATTGCATGATGTATGTCTGTGGCACTAATTTTCGCTAGGCCCTGGGTGGAAATACTTTCTTGTTAAAAAGGCAAGTAGCAATATTTTGAAGTGTGAACATTTGTGTGCATCATTGTATCTATATTGAAAAAGAGCAACAATCTAAATTCGGCACTATATGCAGCGGTGCCATCACACTCACTCACTATGGTGTAATGCTCACTTTTTCACTTGCTCAAATGCAATGGAAAAGCATACCGAACCTAACGAGTAGCATACTGGACGTGACAGCACAGTTTGTTTACATCACATCTTTCTTGGCAGTCCGGTGTCAATCAATACGATCGCGAGAACATCTCGTCGCACTGTTTGAAGTTCTAATTGCTTGACTGTGTATGGTAGGCATGACAAAGGTGATGAAAAAAGGATATGCAAGCACACATATGTAGACAGGTGGGTACTGATGCCCACGTGTATGGTCCAATCAAAAGCTTCTGCGTTAGTGACGTCATGTGGGTGACGCTAAAGGAGTTTCAACATGCGAAGAATGGACGATTGAGGTTTTCAGAAAAGGACTTGACGTGCAGTATCTATACAATTGCAGGTCGACCCATTTGGTCTTTATTTGAAACACAAAGTTTGGGTGTCGACGTAGTATTGAAAACTAGTTTTAGTTGTAAAGTCTTTTGGAAAAAAAAATAATCACCGGACATTTTCGCAAAGCTAGCTTTTCTGTGCAGCTTTGAAGCTCTGCCGTGAAGCTGCCTAGAAATGCCGAAATTGGACTTTTTTATGAGGCATCGTGAATAAATTTTTTGTAATGAAATGTGCTCGTGCTCCCTTTTTCTTTCATTTGGCCATGCGATTTCAGGGGTGGTTGGGGTCGACCTACATTCGAGTCGACTTATAATCACGTGAATACGGTAGATTTGATAAGATGTGGTTTAGGCGACCTTTAACCTTTTTATGCAGGATACGGAAACGGAGATTGAGGACGAGGTAGACATACTGATGAGCAGCGACATTGTGGCCGGCCAGATCTCAACCAAGACTGTGACCTTCCAGAGGGCGCAGTCTGGCTGGCTGATGCGGGAGGACAAAACGGTGAGTGCCGCATCGTCCGTTGTCTTGCCTTTTTTTGCACCAACATCTGAAATATGCTTATGTTGTCTGCTATAAGAATGCACCAGTCATGACAATGAAGGATGCGGAAAGAAGTGGCACGCACAGCAACTGTGTGTGCACTTGATCCCTCTTTTGTCTTGACCAGTCATTGTGTGTTTGACTTCTCTACTTCGTCCTTTTGACCGGTTCATTCTTCTAGTGTTACGTGCCAACCAACCCAAACTTCTACATAATTGACCGCTGTCCTTGAAGCAGAGTGTACAGTCAAACCTCATTATAGCAGACTTGCATCTCACACAAAAATAAGCTCGTTAAATCCGAAAATTTGTTATAGCCCCGCTGCGGTGGGCTAGTGGCTAAGGTACTCTGCTGCTGACCTGCAGTTCGCGAGATCGAATCCCAGCTGCGGCGGCTGCATTGGGGGCAAAGATGCTGTAGGCTCGTATGCTCAGATTTAGGTGCACATGAAAGAGTCCCAGGTGGTCCGAATTTCCGGAGCCTTCCCCTACGGCGTCTTTCATAATCATATGGTGGTTTTGGAAAGTTAAACCCCTCATATCAAATCAAACAAAAATTCGTTATAAAAGTATATTACTGACACATTATCTATTGCAACACTATTTTTCCTTTACTTCGTTATAACCAACATTTTGTTGCATCCAGGTTCATTATATCGAGGTATGAGTGCACTATCAGTACATTCTTCCAGTACTTACTTATGGGGCAGAAACTTTGAAGATTACAAAGGACAAACAGGATAGCTTTGTTTAGTTGGTCTTCACATTCAAAATGGAAACATCTCAAAAGTAACTGAAAAGCCCAAAAACACATAATTATGCGTCCATGCAAAAAAGTAGCTTTTTTAAATTGGCTCTTTCAAATTGGCTCGATCAAGACAGGATAAATTGGACTCGCTGCGCAGTGAGTGGCTGCACAGCAAGTCTTGAGTTGTCTGTTAAAATTTTGCAGTGCAGTTACGACAGTGCCAATAGCACTATGCCACATGCGCTGTGAGCATATAGATATATACTTATCAAGATGGGATATACTTATCAAGATGGGGTTGTCAGTGAGGAAGCGATGGTCATCGTAGGGATTTTCTGATGCTTATATACAAAGCTATTGCTGCATTTGTGTTGAAGTAGGATACAGTGATTGTTTCTCTCTGCACTTGAAGGTCTTTTGTGGCACATTGTCATGTTGGCTCCAAAGAGTGTTAGGAGTGGGGTGTGCCTTTATGCTGCAAAGTTTTCAGTGTACGTAAGCACCAGTCGGGATCGGACAAGCCACTACATATTGCATTACATTAAGCTCGACGGAGAATCCATCGATGGTTCGCCGTAATTGCACGGTTGTCTTGTTGGTTAGGGGGAGACCAAGAAATGTGTGTTTAACATTTTTATAGGAGCTGAAAGATAAAGTGCCGGGCCTGAATGTGTCTAATTGTGGGCTGAAGCTGGTAGTTACTGTAGTATACTTTCTTCGGGCTTCCTACTGTTTCGGTAGCAGTGACTCATTAGTAGAGCTCTGTTCTGTTGGTGTTGTGAAAGGCAGTGGCACGTTTTTTTTTTTCCTTTGCAGGAGATGGTTGGCAAGTTTCTAGCTGATTTTTACAGCATCAGTGGCCTAACATTTGAGTCTCGAAAAAGGTTGGTGCGGCGCATATCTTCTTTTCACCTATGAGAAATTAAAGCTTTGGCTACAGAGTAACGGGCGTCTCTGTAAAGGTGTAAACAATTGAAAAGTATGCAGTAGCAAAAGCAGGCATTTCTTGGCAGCATATCTCTTATGGTAGTTACCATAAAGGCTAAGTGGTACTCACTAATGAGTCTGCAAGTTCTGAAATGAAACTGTTTAATGTTAGTTACGTTCTGGTTCTTGTTACGTCTGTGCAGTTAAATCGAGCAAGTTACAAAGCTGTGGGCATTTGTTAATGTGTGGCTATCGTAATTTTTATAGTCACGTTGCCATGCATACTGCCCGCTCCTCAATCTCCGTTTCCTCCATTCGCAGGAGAGAACACCTCACCGAGGAAGATCTTCACAAAAACCGGGCAATAATTGAGAGCTTTACAAGAGGAAACACGATGGTCCTAGAAAACTCGGAGGTGTGTTGACAGAATCTAGCACATTCATTGCATACAATTTCGTTCGACGGCTTGTTTTACCTCTGCTAGGGTACAGTTCTATACTGGTCGGGAACGACTGACATCGGTGTCTGCTCATCTATTGCTGTGACTTGGGTCACATGTGTTCCTTTAAACCACATTAGTTGGTGAACAGCTGACCAGCGCAATGCTTTGTGTTTGACCAAATGCTTATTTTCAAACGTGGTTTCATTGTAACCATTTTGCATAGGTATGGCTTAGGTCGTAACATTCAGTTGCAGCTGTACTTTGGCATTTCGAATGCTTTGCACTGCCTTCGTTAGTCTCTCTTGTTGATAATTGATGGTAGGGCCGCTTTGGGGTGACGGATTAATTTAAGGATGTTTGTTAGACATGGCTGTTTCATAGTTCACTGACCAAGCATTGCCAGGTATGTACGACATGTCTAGATTATCCTTGCATCACATTTACAGTGAGGTGTTGGATTGCGTAATCACCCAAAAGAAACTACCAATCCACTTAGGGTAATTTTACAATTCTCCCATCTTTCCCACAAACGCTAGCAAGGTTAGAGAATGAAGACAGCAATTGCCGTTGGGGTTTTTTCACTGCCATTCTTTAAGGTGTCATGCGGAACCATTTGCATTGTTTGTGCGTGTTGCGTTCGTAGGAGTACTGTATTTGCATGATTGCACGGGGAGACACCATTTCACATATCGGAACAGAACGAAAAATCAAACTTGGCTCGCAGTCACATCAGACACATTTAATAAAGGACCAAAGAGAAAGAAAAGCACACGGCGTTATCAGTTCTTTTATCTTCGTCACACACTGCCTGATAGCAGTTTTGCTGCAGTTCCGAGTATCGGTGTTTCCAAGATCAAACAGCTGCGCTTTCATAAACTACTGACACATCCGTGAGGGCTGTGTGCACAGTACTAATACAGTCGAACTCTGCTACAACGAAACAGACGGGGCGTGGAAAAAATTTCGTTGAAGCAAAAATTTCATTGTAGTGAAATCGAAAAAGTATAGCTGATCTTAGCTAGCAAAACAAAGGAACGTTTATTCTCAAAATTCAAAAAGGTCTGCTGCTTTCTATTCTTTCCCGGCTACGTCATGACGCGATTCTCGCCTATGCATAGCGAGGCTATGGTGAAAAGCGTGCTGAAACAACACCTACAACCACTTTCGTCAACAAACCAAACAGTTGCATTAACACGTTCATGCCAGCAGCTGTCCGCCATGAAAGTGAATCCGACAATGCTGAGATGGAGGCAGGGTATCGTAGAGCGGTGACTTTTGCCTTATTCTATGCCATTCTTATCATCCACTACTTGTGGATGGGTGATCTTGTTAAAGCGGACGAGCAGCTGCTCTGATTAGTTACCACAATGACCAAGCGCGAACGAAATTATACGCATTAGTATCGAAAGAGGCATCGTTCCGCACAGCTGCGTGAAAAAAAAAACCATGAACTGAGCGACTGAGCTTCAGCTTCGGATCGTCTGCGGCTCAAAAGCAAGCCAGTGGCAAAAGCAGGGCAGTCTCATCGCCATCACTATCAAGCAATGGTGGCGCCCATGCTTGCTGAACAGCGATGGTATACGGTGGTGCCAGGGCGTTTTTGTGGACGTGTCTCCAGGTTCTGAAAATGCATTAAAATGTTAAAGATTGTGTTTATTGTATAGCAATAAATATCTGAGCCTAAAATCGCATTGTGAAATTTCATTGAGGCGAGACGGCAGAAGAAAAAGGGTTTGTTGTGGCGACAATATTTATGCATTGACTCCTATGGGTGGCTGATGGAGAACCATGAATTTTTCGTTGTAGCGGAAATTTCGTTGAAGCAGCGTTTGTTGTAGCGGGGTTCGTTGTAGTGGGGTTCGACTGTATAGATGAAGGGGAAACACCAATAAAACCTGTGATTGTAGCTGCAACGCAAGCGTAATACTGTGACCATGCTCTAGCAGTTGTAATATCTCATTTGTCTGACATTTATAGGCAGCGCATATCTTTGGTTTTATTATGTAGGCTAGCCTTACCCTCCGATTTACCATGGGTTTTTATAATTTAAAATGTCGACTTACAATCGTGAGCGCTAGGGGGATTTGAAAGGCTTATATTTTTTGGTGTTAAATGCAACATTAATTACAGCTATCATTATCATCATCAGCCTCACTACGCCCACTGCAGGGCAAAAGCCTCTTCCATGATTCGCCAATCAACCCGGTCTTGTGCTTTCCGTTGCCATGTTATACCCGCAAACTTTTTAATCTCATTGGCCCACCTAACTTTCTGTCTCCCCTTCGTGCGTTTGCCTTCTTTGGGAATCCAGTCATTTACCCTTAATGACCACCTGTTATCCTGCCTACATGCTTCGTGTCAGGCCCATGTCCATTTTTTTTTCTTGATTTCAGCTATAATATCCTTAACCCAGGTTTGGTCCCTGACCTACTCTGCTCTCTTCTTGTTTCTTAAGGTTACACCTATCATTTTCCTTTCCATCGCTTGCTGCGTCGTCCTCAATTTAAGCAGAACCCTCTTTGTAAGCCTCCTGGTTTCTGCTCCGTAGTTAAGTACTGGCAAGACGCAGCTGTTATATACCTTTTTTTTAAGGGATAGTGGCAATTTACCAATCATGATTTGAGAGCGCTTGCCAAATGTGCTCTACCCAATTTTTATTCTTCTAGTTACTTCAGTCTCGTGGTTTGGCTCTGCGGTTATTACCTGTCCTAAGTGGACATATTCCTTTACAGCTTCCAGCGCCTCTCCACGTATCACAAAGTGCTGTTTTCTGCCGAGATTGTTGCACATTACTTTAGTTTTGTGCATATTAATTTTCAGACCTAATTTGTGCTTTCTGTGTCCAGTTCAGTAATCATGAACTGTAATTCATCCCCTGAGTTACACACAAGACAATGTCATCAGCGACTCGCAGGTTACTAAGGTACTCTCCATTAACTCATCCCTAACTCTTCCCAGTCTAGGGTCCTGAATACATCTTTTAAACATGTGGTGAATAGCATTGGAGAGATCGTGTCTGCCTGCCTTACACCCTTCTTTATTGGGATTCTTTCGCTTTCTTTATGGAGAACTATGGTGGTTGTGGATTCTCTGTAGATTTCTTCGAGTATGTTTATGTAGGATTCTTCGATGCCCTGATTCCGTAGTGCCTGCATTGCTGCTGATGTCTCGACAACAAATACCTTCTTGTAATCTATAAAAGCTATGTATAGGGGTTGGATGTATTCAGCGCATTTCTCTATTACTTGATTGGTAGTATGAATATGGTCTATTGTGGAGTAGCCGGTACGAAATCCTGCTTGGTCTTTTGGCTGCTTGAACTCTAATATCGTCTTAATTCTATTAGCTATTTTTTTGTAAATAGTTTGTAGAGAGCAAAGAGTAAACTGATCGGCCTGTAATTTTTCAAGTCCTTGACGTCTCTTTTTTTTATGAATTAAGATGATGTTGGCATTCTTTCAAGAGAGACACTTTCTATATAAGGTGGCTAACTTTTCCAACACAATTTCTTCTCCATCTTTCAGGAGGTTCGTTGTTGATTTATCTTTACCAGCGGCTTTGCCCCTTTGCATTCCTTCTAGGGCTTTATTTACTTTCCCTATCATTATTGGTAGGATGTCGATATATTTCTCTTGGACTATTACAGTTTCTCACAATAGCATCCTGGTTCTTTAGAACTCCTCCGCCATATCGACTATCCTATCCTCATTGGTTATGATATTGCCTTCCTCGTTTCTCAAGGCATACATCCGATTTCTGCCTATTCACAAGTCTGCCTTCGCAGCTTTTAGGCTTCTGCTGCTTTTTACAGCCTGCTCCATTATTTCTATGTTACACCTCCTGATTTCGGCTACATTATGCCTATTGATTAACTTCGAAAGCTCCACTAGCTCTATTTTGTCGTCTAGTGACTGAACCTCCAACTTCAATTGCATACTCTTTGATGATACTAGTAAGATTATCATTCGTTGTGCCAACACTAATTTCAGCTATCTCATTAGTGTCTCGAATTGATTCTGAAGCAAAACTCTGAATTCCTGTATTTTTCCCCTCACCACCAGTTCATTAATTAGCTTCTTGCGTATCAATTTTCGTTTTTGCTTTTTTAAATCTAGGTGAATATGAACTCCAACCATTCTATGGTCACTGAATCTAATCTTGCCAACTATTTCTACATCCTGTACAATGTCTGAGTGTGCACACAGAATGAAGTCAATTTCATTTTAGTTTCGCCATTAGGACATCGCCACGTCCACTTCTGGTTAGCCCGTTTTTCTAAGAAGGTATTCATAATCCGTAAATTATTACGCTGTGTGAACTCTGCTAATAACTCCCCTCTGGCATTTCTAGAGCCGATGCCATATTCCCCCACTGCATGGTCTCCGGCCTGTTTCTTGCCTACTTTGGCATTAAAGTCGCCCATAAGAATAGTAAACTGTGTCTTTACTTTATTGATGGCTGACTCTACGTCTTCATAAAATGAGATATTACAGCTATCAGACACGAAGCTATAAGTGAGTTATGATTGTGTGAATATGGTGCTATATAGTGCAAATGAGTAAAAAAAAATATTGAAACAAAGGTATTACAAATAGCAATACCGAACAAATTAAGAATGTTCCTCCCAGAGTACTTCGAGGGACAATGCACACGTGAGAAATGAGGATTCGAATGCATCTCATAAACTGTACTGACGTTGATTTTTATGTGCGAACAACCCGAGAACTGTTCCGTCCCCTGCCTTCCGTAGCCTCAGCGGAGGAAGTCGTTACCACCGCCGTCGCGAAGAGACGTCACGTTTGAAGAGTACATCTCGGCTACACCGGGAAACCCGCCCATTCTGGGCCGACAGCCGGTCTGCAAGACAACTACCAAAGTTTTCAAGGCTACTTTGGCCATGGTGAGTGCATAAGAAGATGGTCATTAGTACACTTAGGCAACGCCTCCTCTTTTTTTCTTTCAATGCCTGTGCCAATGCTCACTTCACAACAGATGTCATTGGTCAGCCTTAGTTTGCGACGTCTGCTATCGCGTTCAACTGTTGAAGGTGAAGCTTAAGGGTCCCCCAATTTTTTTTACCGTGTTTTATTTATTTTATTACTTGTTTAAAGTGCTTTACAGGCCCCTAGTGGAATTGTGTAAGGGGGTAATGCAAGAAAGTATTTAAGACATGTACACAATATTAATGAGAACTAACACAATGATGCCAAGAAAATCATGGGGGATGTTAATAGTAGTAATTTCAATGTAAATGCAAGGAAAGAAAAGTAGGATGAAAAGATAAACTTGCTGCTGGCAGGCGTCGTGCCTGCTGACATTCGAATGACGTGTTTAATGCTCACCAGATGTGTTATTCGAAGGCATCATTGTCTGTTCTCAGTAATACCGTGTCTAAAAAAAAAAAATGAGCCCTTAATATTTCGGCTTCTTTCCCTAAACGTGTACGGTAACTTCAAAACAGTAGTAACGAATATAAATACACAAAGAATTGAGGCCAACATAAAATGTTACTGTAGCATTTGTGGGAACAGGATGAAATATTACATTACCGTATTTACTCGCATAATTCTTGCACTTTTTTCGTGGAAAACAAACAAAACTTGGGGGGGAGAGGGGTGTGTGAGAATTATGCGGAAATTTTTTTTATTGAAAACGTACTGAGTGCTGAGAAAGAAAATGAAGTGGCAGCGAATGAGGGGTCAGCAACTAACTACAACCTTTGAGAACTACTAATCACGGTTGACCTTAGCAATAAAATCACAGGTTCTATTGCTTCGGTAAAACCAAAGTAGGATTTATTTACATACACTAAAGCCACTAGCGAGTAGCATCCCAAAGGTCTCTGGGCGAGACCGTTGGCGTAACTCAATCAAGAAGTGCCACCTCAACCTGCGGATATTTTCTATTCATAGGCTTACGGAAGGCCCGACGCATCTTTGTTGGTGGCTTTCAGCTGCTCGCGCTGCCGACGGCAGTAGCAAACAGGAAACTCGTCGACTCTGAGGTGCCTGTTGGCGGCCCTGTTGCAGTTCTTTAGTGCACGATCGATCGCTTTCAACTTGAAAGCAGCTGCGTAGCTTCCATATCAACCCATAGCGTAACCACAATCCGTACGCTACACTGACTATCGCTACACGTCGCTTCGCACCTCCATGCTTACGTGCGGCTTGGCTGGGATTGGATTAGGTCTGCCTCGGCGGAACTAACTTACAGTGCTTGGCTGCTGACCCAAAGGCCGCGGTTTCGATCCCGGTCGTGGTGGTCACATTTCGATGGAGGTGAAATGGTAGGGGCCCCGTGTTCTGTGCGATGTCAGTGCATGTTAAAGAGCACCACATGGTAAAAATTTCCGGAGCCCTTCACTACACATATCTCGTACTCATACGGCGGTTTTAGGACGTCAAACCCGAGATGTTGTCACTGTTGTTGTTTTTGTTATTATTATTATTATTATCATGAATGTTATTATTATTATTAGGTTGGATTGTATTAGGGCTCTATGCATTGATAGTGTGCGTAATGCTTAAGAGACGGTGTTAGGCTGTCGTGCCCTATCGTCATCAGTGTTTCAAAGCAGCAGACGACATTATTGCTGTAGTTTTTGGAGGTGTGATACTAATTACCTGCGGAGAAAAAAAAAAATCCCATTTTCGATGGGCAATGTGATGGGTGCGAGAATCACGCGAGTAAATACGGCAGGTGATACACAACAAACAGAGGCGAGAAAAAAATCCACTTTGAACCGCAGCAGCTGTGTACACAATAAAATTTGACACATTCAAATGCAATCAATACAATTACAGAATGACCCCGATAAAATTTAGCTGTTACATTTAGTGCGAAGTTGCACATTTTAAATGCAATAAAAAAAACTATGATAGCTATGATATCAAGGGTTACTTTAACAAATGTGTTGTTAGTAGATGCCTCAAGTTTTCTTGACAGATTCGTACCAACTATCCCAGTTGACCGCACTTTTGCAATTTGTCTTCTTTCATTTCAGAGTCAGAACTTTCCCCTCACTGTAAATTCGTAAGTACTGATTTAATTTTCTCTATTTCTTTGCTACACTGCTGTGTCAGGCGCAGCGTGATGCAGTAGGTTCTTCATTATCTACTTGCTTTTTATCGTTATGGCTATGCTTTGAGGAAGTGGCTTTTTTCAAGACAACTCGTGCTTCGCGGCATCGGCTTAGTTTCTTTTAACTCTTCTCTATTTTTCTTTTTCCAATGCCTCTGACAGCCTCCTAAACGTGCTTGAAGTGATAGCGCCATTCAAACACTTCAACAAGCTTCGGGAGTTTGTACAGATGAAGCTGCCTCCAGGCTTTCCTGTTAAAATTGGTAAGTCTCTCTGTGTATTTCCTTTCCTTAGATGAAATGTACCTGGTTTTGAAGCTCACGTAATTATACGCCCGCCCTTGTTTTCATTAATTCAAAGTACGAAACAAATGCGTTCCCAAACTTTATGTATGTTTCGTTTGATGAAAAGAGGTAACCTGCCCCTAGTTTTGACCAAAAAAAAAAGAGAAAACGTGACCCACACTGCTTGTCTTCTAGCAACGTAAATTTAAATTTGTTCATGCAGTTAAATATCCATTTTCAAACTGCCCTTTATTGTCTAGCCTACTGTACGCCTGTCTTTGTGCTGTTTCGCTTTCTAGTAAAAATCCAGATTTCTTCGGTGACTCTAACCATTATTAAGACAGTGGTGACATGCTCCTTGACTAACCTTTTGGCAAACTCATCTCTCAATGCCGCTGAGCCTTTTGATTGGAAAGTGAAAAGTGGAGTAACCCTCTTGCCGTTATTTCTATATGTATAATAGCTTTTCTTCAAATTAACTTTCATTGTGTTCATGCTGTACTCACCAACATATCTGGCAAATTGTCTATCTTGTGGCAGCTTTCATACACGCGCACATTCACGCCTATAAGTACACATTACCTGCCAATTTGATTTCTTTTGTAAAGAGCAGCAGAGTGTGTCTTTCTCTTTTCTGTCTACTGTCATGGTTCGTTGTTTCGAAAATCATGAATTAGATATATGTATTGTATCTATCTACCATAAAAACCAGAATATAGGTCAAACCCCCTAACCTTCAATCTTCGAAAAAGAAATTAAAAAAATTGCTGAGTATCCCGGCACACCCTTATCTTGTTAAAAACACAACACAACCAGCTGTACTGTGGGGACATTTCTTTTTATTTTGACACTAATCCTGTGTAGTTAAATGCCAGAAGGCCAAAAAGCACTGCCACTCAGACTCGTCCGAACTTAAGTCCAACGTCTGTTTCTCACTAGTAATGTGCCCGAGTGCATCATCCTCTGTTCCAACTAATGCGTTACTAATGTAGCATTTGCTGAAAGATGGAAATACGCCATTCCAGCGCAAAGCCCTTCGGCTCAATGAATCAGTGCACCCACAATGGCGATCCCTTAAATTGCACCTTTGCGAGTCCAGAGTCTCGTGCTATCTCAAGAGCTTTCACGCAGATGTTTCACTGTTACGGGTAGCAACCTTGCATGCAGCTCTAGAACAAATTCGGCGAGTAGTGTTTCCAGTTTGGGGTGAACTGCAGTCCGTCCACAAAAACAATATTTTTTTTTATTGCTGCTGGATTCGATGTGCTGCTTTTGGCTCCTCTATCGGACGCTTTTCTCCGATGCACCGAATTCCCGTTGTGCCGTGAGGTTGCCGTGCATTTTGGCATACTCGATAACTTTTTTTTCATAAAACCTATCATAAACTGCTGTTGACTACAACTTATTTCGGAAGGAAATAGAAAAAAGAAAACAGTGGACTGACAAAGATAACGAAAGCAAAATGGCATTGCTAGTACACTCTTGCCTTGCCTTGCCCAACGGCGCTGCTGCTGATGCTCACAATGGCAATGAATGCTTTCCACTTCAGCTGCCCATTGGTGTGAAACTTCCACATTTTTGTCTGCCAATAAGACGATGGTCGACTTTTCATTGCATTTTTTTTTAGTTCGACCTTTACCTTGGTTTTTACTGTAGTTACTTGTAAGATTCAGATGATATTCAAGCATATTGAATTGAATTGGAGAATGTCCTCCTCTTTGAAGCATAAAAAATGGTAGGTTATGGTCCCATGTAACAGTGTGTGATAGCCCCGCCGCGGTGGTCTAGTGGCTAAGGTACTCGGCTGCTGACCCGCAGGTCGCGGGTTCGATTCCCGGCTGCGGCGGCTGCATTTCCGATGGAGGCGGAAATGTTGTAGGCCCGTGTACTCAGATTTGGGTGCACGTTAAAGAACCCTAGGTGGTCAAAATTTCCGGAGCCCTCCACTACGGCGTCTCTCATAATCAAATGGTGGTTTTGGGACGTTAAACCCCACAAATCAATCAATCAACAGTGTGTGATAGTTTGCACGTGAGAATTCTTTTCATAGGTAAGTTAAGTGGCAAGTATACTCATTAATGAAAGAAATGAACCATTCAAACATGCATCTGAGGGTAAGCCCAGTGGCACAATAAATAAATACTTCACATGGCAAAAAAAAAATGTTCTCCTAATAGTATGTGTGCTTCTGTAGTGTCATGTAGTATGTTTGTAATCTCAGAAGGTGATAAAATAGCTTTCATTTGTTGCTGCATACATGTTGAATACAAAATGCGAAGCTTTCTTTGCACACACCAATTTTTTTTTTTTTTCGCTTGTGTCTTTCCCAAATGTGCTTTTGCAGACATACCCATCCTACCTACGGTGACTGCCCGGATCACGTTCCAGGACTTCGAGTTCCGTGACAACATAGACGACGCGCTCTTCGAGATCCCCTCAAACTACTCGGAGGACCGCAACCGGTTCCCGGACTTATGATGCCTGGACGACTTGCTCCTGGTGACTCTCGAAGAACGGCACCGCATCGTCATGGCACGGCGACCTCGCCTGACCCCTCGCTCCCGCATGGTCCGCCATCGCCACCGTCCCGTGTGCATCGAAGTTGTCGCCCTGGACATTCCCGTCACGCTCGGTCACGGCAGCACTTTCTCTTCTACGTTGTCTGTCGTTTTTGACGTGTGAAAGCCCTCCCCCTTCCGGATTGCCACCGACATTCCCATTGCACTCGCAGAATCGCTTTCTTGTGTGCAGCATGCGATGCTGCCAAAAACCGCACCCACCTGACACTTCTCGCTCGAGGGTTGCCGTGAACTCATCCTGGACATTCCCATCACTTTTGAATCACAGCTGCGCTTGTCACCCCAACATTGCCCATTGTCTCCCGAATGGTGTGACCCAGCAGGTCATGAGGTGAGGTGAGCTCATGTTCCTTACATTTCCTTTCCACAACTACTCTTTCCTCCAGATTATTCCCACTTTTCAAAGACTGAGCTCACCTTTTCGTACTCGTCTTTTCCCAACTATCTCGCGCCTCTTCAAATGTACATAAATACACCGTTAGTCACTCGTCATTGTCCGTCAACATCAAACACGTTGTACGGATTGCCGGAGAGTGCTGCCCCTTGTCGATCCGTGTTCCTGCCTCGATGGGCTTTCTGGACGCAAACGAAACGGCGTTGTGTGCTGCACGAATTGTTGGCTTGCAACGCCTCGACGACACTCAGTGGAGCCTTGCGGGGCATGGCTCCCCCCGAGTTTATCCTCAAGCTTTTTTTTTTTTCGTCTCATGATACTTCATGTACGGATCATTTCTGCGGCTCCAAGATTGCTGCTCGGGTCCCTGACTCTGACATTAACGCAAATTTGCCCACAGCGCTTGCGCGTGATGTACGCGTTGCTGTAAAAAAAGCATTGCTGTTTTTCTTTGCTGCACTTATTGCTGCTCAACCGCTAAGCCAATATAAAGTGTCGGACATTCCGACTTGACTCATCTTAAAACGACCTTGAAATGGCTTAGCTCTCCGATAGCCCCGCATTTCTAAGCCGACAGTGGACCAACCCTGCTGAAAAGTTTTTGAAAATTCTGTACCCAGTTTCACGCTTACGGTCTTCTATGTTGCTCACACAGAATGTAGTATTTGTGTGCATTTCATGTGTTGAAGTGTGAGTGATACAGAAAATGTGGAACTATGAAAATGTGCACGACAACTTTTCAGCAGGGAACGCAGGCAATATTTGCTCAGTTTGTTGGGTTTCTGGGCTAGCTGCTTGTTTTCTTAAGAAGCTCACTGTCAGATTTCTGAACTTTTCTTGCCAGCCAGCTTTGTAAGCTTCCTTATCAAACCAAAATGTAACCACAGTGCCAACCCGTCAACATCATACTTGAAAAAAGCCGAGGCGACAAAGTAATACCTCTGTAGTTTACTCTTGATGGCAGTGGGGCATAGTGCACGATTGCCATTGTACAATGCTTAAAAATGATGCCACTATTACCAAAGCCAAGGTATTGTTGTTTGGAAGCATGCTGTTACTGTACATAAGCAGCAGAACTGCAAAGGCACATTCGATTAAAGCCAAGTAGCTTGTCAGAAGTGTCCTGCGTCAAACTTGGCGTTCACGTTTCACAGCTTTTTTTTGGCGAAAGCCGCGAAGAAGTCCTAATGCCGTCTTGATTGCAGTCTCACTTCATTTTTATCCATTTCCGTGGCCCTTGATGCACTTTGATTTCGCCATATTGCGGATAAAAACAGTGCATGACAGGCTATTGTAAACAGTGTGTTGTGAGGACAACGCGGCATACTTGTGTGCTTACTGATATACATACAAATTTAATGGTCAGCTTTCAAAATGTTTTTGTCTGGTCAATAGCACAAACGACCTGCTCGTTATTACTGTGTGCCGGCAAAAAGTGTGACTGAAGGTGTGACGTGGCTGTTGCATCCTTACGTGTTACGGCTGAATGCCGACGACAGATGTGGTGCTTTTGATTGCGTGTTGCATGATGTCCCTGACCGAAGCTGAGGAAGATGTGTACTCTACTGCATGCGATGTACCGTGCCTGTGCGTCTGGAGGATTTGTTTTACCTCCTCAATTGAGCACATTGGGCTGCTAACTGTAGTTTCTTTTTCTTTCCGTAAGTACACGACAGACACGGTGCTAATAGTACCTCAAGGAAGAGGGGACATCCTTTGCGCTACACCGTAAAAGCACGTCTTGTTACCAAAATCGTTTCTAGTGAACTCTATGATCTTCAGCCACAGTAACGCATGTTTGTGTGAGTGTTTGTGTGTGCGTGTGTGTTTGTGTGTGAGTGTACAACAGTGCTGCAGTATTGCTGCATTTTGCACCTCGCGTATGGCTAATCTTGCAACGTTTCATTCCTGGCACAGCTTGTGTCACTTGTTTGTGTGCTTACACGCTTTCGTTGCTGGCGAGTGAAGGGGCGGTTGTTACTTTGATACTACTCTGCACTTTGTAGTCAGACTTAAGTAGCCAACGTGAGGCTATTTTGTGCTCACTCTTGAACGTTTTATTTCATGGAGGGAGCCGTAGAAAACGCAACCTTCTGACCTGCTCTTAAACATGTCTTTTATGTACACTCAAGCCTCGTTATAACAAAGTTGAATCTTACATTAAATTAAGTTTGTTATATCCAAAAATTTTTTATAAAGGTATATTCTCAACACTGTATTGAAAGACTATTTGTGACTTACTTTTTTATAACCGATATTTTGTTAAATTAGGGTTCGTTATATCGAGGTTTGAGTGTATTTCCTAACTTTGCGCTCGAGCTATTTAAAAGCTGTAGCGTAATTCTGTGAGGCAAGCCCACATTTTGGTGTGCAGCCGAAAGCATTCGCTTGTGTTGTAGGCATGCAGTTTCGGGATGTATATGTAGCCTCTGGGCCCATATTTATAATTTCATTTCATTTTATATTTCGTGATCATGCCAAGTGGCCAATTTTCAGTTACGATGGTGGAATGACGGCTCTCTAATAATGTTTGAGCCAATGACGGAGGACAAAAAGAACTAAAGATGAACCAAGGGTTAGGAATGTTGGCCCATGGACTCATGGTTGTATTATCTCTCTGCTGCATTTTCGGTTCAGTCTTCTTTTTCTGTTTATCTCTACATATTTATTTCTTGCAGTTCTGGCATTATTTAAAGGGGGCCACTAAGATAGGGTCTTTTGACAGCTGTTTAGTTGTCGGAGTTGGGTTCTCAAATGGACCACTTTGTTCGTAGTCACTGTTGAGGAATTGAGGTGCACATCATCTTTACAAATAACTGCATGTGGCATAACCAGTTTGTATGTTACGGGGCTAAAGTTGAATGCGTTTTCTACCTCTGTGAGAATATTTTGGGGTATTTCCGAACGTTTCGAGTTCTGGTTTAAGACTGTTGCATATTTAATTACATATTCCATATTGTATTTCAAAAAGGATCTGTTAATGGATGATTTAGTGCGTCTGCCACATTTAGCGATTTTCTGTTTCTAATGGACAATATTTGCTGTGAAACCTGTTCTTAAAATGTTTTGAGGCTTGGCCTGGGAGGTGTCTCAAGTTCTTTAATAGTCTACCAAGTGTATGGCAAGTTTAGTATCATTTTCTGCGGTCCAGGAAACAGTGGCATTGTGTATTTTTGTACACATGTGGTCGCTCATGCTGCTGCTTCAAAGAGGGTTTTTTCTCAGGCATTCCTTTTGGTCCCAGACTTCAAATAGCTGCTGGCTCTCATGAAATGCGATAGCTCTCAGGTTTTTTTAACATCAGTGTAGTTCTATGAATGCTGTTTCTTTTTTCTTTTTTCATTTTGTGGTCCTTTAACTTGATGGCTTTTTGCAAGGTGCCAATCGCCAGGTCCCATTGCAAACTTTGGTTTATGCATAAGAATTTGCGAGGTGCTGTTTAGATAGCACCTTTCAGAAGTACCCTGTAACCTCATTATTACAAAGTTGCATTCCTAAGTAAAATAAGCTTATTTCCAAAAATTTGTTATGAAGGTATATTCCTAACCCTATATCGATTGCGGGACTATTTATCATTTACTTCGTTATAACCGATATTTCATTATATCTGGATTCAATATATAAAGGTTTGAGTGTATACACAGATCTGTTTTAAATTGGTGTGCTATTACAGAAGTCGAAAGAAATTGCACTGTCCTATTACCATGCTACTGAGAAGTAGCGTTCCCATTCTGTATTCACCCATGTTCCAGAGTGAAAGGAGATCGTTCGATTCGCATAAGCCCCGGCTTCATTCTTTTTTTTTTCCGCTATGTACTTGACATTGCAGTGAATTTCCAGTGTTGGAATCGTATGATCCACATTGCATGCTTAGCGGAAGTCCTGTGCCATGATCGTTGACTTTGCAAACACTGGATCTTGTGTAGCACTGCACAATGTCTATACGAGGCGAGTTGTCCGGTACGTCTCTAAGAAACGCGCTGTGATTAGAAATGACCTGTAACTCGGTGGGAGAGTGAATCGCGAAAGAGAAAGGTTTTTCTCGTTGTCTGCTAGCGTTCGAAGTTTGGAGGCTATTAACATCCGTTGCCATGTTCAGATTTAGATTAATATTTTCGCGGTCATCTCGGTATTTGGCACAACACGAACTCCAGTGGTGCAGAATGCGGACGCAAAACCATCGCAGGGCCCCTTTAGCTGCCTGGGAAATGAAAAGTGAGTGAGCCATCACAGCACCCCCTGATTTTGCTTTCATGGACGTGCGCATTATGATGAATGGAGGAAAAAAAAAAAACAATGTTAACGACTGGATGAAAGGAAGACACAGACATGGTACTGATGCATATTTTTCTCGTGTCTTCTTTAGCGCTGTTTTATTCCTTGTTCACCATGCACTAACTGGCCCAATCAAGCAGGCTGCTAAAGTACATGAGGGATCCCTGCCTATTCCTTCACATGAAGTACACGCACAGCAAATGATATGTTCACTTGAACCTCATTATAGCAAAGTGCCACCTGCCACGAAAATACTTTATTATGTTTGAAAATTCATTACAAACGTATATTTGTAGCACTGGAGCTATGACAGCTATTTTTCATTTACTTTGTTATAATCGAAAATTTATTATATATGAGTTTGCTATGTTGAGGTTTGAGTGCATAATTTATTGATTCATTATATATGAGTTTGCTATGTTGAGGTTCGAGTGCATAATTTATTGTAGTTTGAATTTCGGAACTTTAATGTCAAAATGAGTCTTGTTTCATTTGCACCCTATTTCTTTCAGTATCTAGAGGCTGCTTGCGATTCGGGACTGTGGCTTTCAGACAATTGCTTGTTAGTTTTTTCTTTTTTTGCTAAAGTATTTCAACAAGCATTAATGCATAACTCATCATTGTTATCCAGAAGTGCTGGAAAGAGCAAGTTAGGTGAAACGTGGCATCAACATGTTAGTAAAGTTGGTGGAGGGCGTCTGAACTAAACGAGTTGCACCTACTACATGAATTACTCGAAATTGCAGCCTAATGATAAGGGTTTATTGGTGGCCTAATGGCTTAAATTTATTTCTTTTAAATTCTATTTTAACTTAGTGTCATGCTGCTTGCAATATTTGTTGTACTTCCTAGGTTTTCAGCTTTGAACTTTCACATCTTTTTCTAGTTTTTTTTTTAAACATTATTGAATTGTAGATTTGGCTGGGGGTTTTTCTCACGAACGTGTCTCCAGAATGTATGTTGTATGTTTTATCTGAGGCCTTTGATTTTGAACACATGTGCTGCGCGTGCTGTGCTGAAAGATTTAGATGCAAACAGCAACGACCACCTTTTATGAATTATTGAACCGCTCTGTCGTTGGTTTCTAAGTATCCCCAAGTGTGCTTTCTGGTGTCTGACTAAACTTTATATGTATATATAAATGGA